CAGGAGGTTGGGCTGGGTGACCCACAGAGGGCCCTGCCAACCCTGACCATTCTGTGACTCTGATTCTGTGAAACAGCATGGAAATGCAAACCGCAAACATGACGAAGTTTGAGTATCCACGTGCCTGCAGTTAGTTTGCCTGGCACTTGTTCCCAGGCTTGGTGGAGTGTCACGGTTTTGTCTCCTCTCTCTGCGCTATTTGAGTGTAGCTCTCTGCTGGAGTCCTGTTTGGAGGAACACGCGTTAGAAACCATGTTCCAAAATCGTCGTTTGTCGGTTGAAGCGGAGCCTGTGAGATGCCGTGGGGATGCTGAAGCCTGCAGCCCTCTGGCCGCCCAGCCCCGCTGCTGTGGGGGGGGGGGTCGGGCACCCTGCGAGCGTGGCCGTGCCCCTTGGCCGGGGTCCGGCCTCGCCACGGGCAGCGGGGAGCGGTTGGGTGGCTGGAGGTCCTCTCCCCCAGACTGGGAAAAAATCCTCCAAGAAAGCCGCTGCGGTCCTGCCTGTAGCAGCTGGCTGTGAACCGAGGGCACCGTGGTTTGAGCTGTCTGTTCGGACACCCTGCTTTGTATAAATGATATGAAAGCGTATAGATGAGACACAAGCACGGTGAGCCTCACCCATCTGCCCTGCCGCCTGTGCCCGCACTTCCCAGCCTTTCAGAAAACAAGTCCTGTGCCAGCAGTGGGATAGAAGGAGAACTTTTAGATGCTGTTTTTCTTGGCATGCTTCAGTAAAAGTGCGGGCGCTGATGGCACGAGCAGAGCCAGGACAGCCCTGCTGCGAGCCGGGACCAGTGTCCTGCAGACCGTGGGGGTACGGGGCACGCAGCTTGGCAGCCCTGCCAGGCAGAGCTGGAGGGGAGTGACGCTGGCTGCTCTCCGGGGCCGTAAATGGGCTGCTGAGGGTGGCCGAAGGGCTCTGCTGCAGCTGTTGTGGGGACAAAGGGAAGCTTTACCCTGCCAGCCTTAGACGGACAACCGCGCCGGCTATTTAACCTTTCTGTCTGGATAACTTTTAAACTGGATTGAAAGTAAAGCCTGGAGTGACCTCGCTGCTTCCATTTATATCCAGTGACAGATCAGAATGGCAGCAGGCTGGGAAACAAACTTATGCATTTTGCCTTGCTAAGAAATAAGGGAGAAACATCTGCCCAAAACCCACTGCTGGCTGCAGTAGTTGGCCGTGGCTGCCTCCCAAGGCACGGTGTCACCTTGGATGCCAGGCACTGGGACAGGCTGCCCAGGGCCATGGGGGAGTCCCCATCCCTGGAGGGGTTCAAAAACTATGCAGATGTGGCACTTGGGGTCATGGTTTAGCAGGCGTGGTGGTGTTGGGGTGACGGTTGGGCTTGGTGATCTTAGAGGTCTTCTCCAACCTTAATGATTCTGTGGTTCTATGCACGGAGTAAGGGGCAGTGGGACAAAAAACAGATGTCCGGGGTCCTGGGGGGAGGTTTCTCTTCTGTGTTTGTGTATTTGCCTGCTTGAAGCTGAAATTTTCAGTCTGAAAAAGACCTTTTGGGGCTTCTGAAATCTGACAATATTAAGGTGCCACAAAAGAAAATGCTGCCTCAGAAGTGCTTAGCTGGCCACTAGTGAGAGCTGGCACAGGGATGGCTCCTGCTAGCGATCAGCCGAGGCGTTCAGTGCTCGCTGAGCTGCTCTTTCATCTCCAGCCAACGGCCGCTTGCTTCCAGGCCGTCTGGCAGGGTGTTTGGTTTCCACAGGCTTCGCCGTGTCCCCTGTTGTTCGGGAGGAGGTGATGCACGTGATCTCCAGACGCTTTCAAGGAACAAGGCTTTGCGTTGGTCAGCGGGCTGCTCCCCTCTGCAAGCGCTGTCTGCAAGTGCAAAATGCAGCCGTCCTAGAGGCGGCTGCGACTTTCTCAGGCTCGATAGCTGTAATCTGGGCGAAATCACTGGTTCCTCAGGCACCTTCAGGCACGGGTTCCCAGAAGCACGGAGGGAATGGCTGGTTTACACTCGCCTGATGTATGTTGTGCATCCAGTCGTGGCAGCTGTAGAGGCAAGATAAGGATCAGCTTGGTGTAGATCTGATCCTAAGCGGCTGTTACGTCCCTCTCTGTTCGTCTGCGTGTGCCCCAACTCGCCCAGTGCCAGGGTTTGGGTGAGGAAGGCTGTCAAGTGCCAGCCCTGCAGCTCAGCCCGCAGGGTGCAATAGCCTGGAGGCAGAGGCGTGCTGGACCTGAGGCTTGTGAAGGATGGGACCTGGTGGGACCTGGATGCTTGTGAAGGGTGGGACCTGGTGGGACCTGGATGCTTGTGAAGGGTGGGACCTGTGTGCTTGTAAAGGATGGGACCTGGTGGGACCTGGGTGCTTGTAAAGGATGGTACCTGGTGGGACCTGGGTGCTTGTAAAGGATGGGACCTGGGTGCTTGTAAAGGGTGGGACCTGGTGCGACCGGCGTGCTTGTAAAGGATGGGACCTGGTGGGACCTGGGTGCTTGTAAAGGATGGGACCTGGTGGGATCTGGGGCTTTGTACTTTCCTGCGAAAGGAGGTGCAGCACAGCCGGCTTTATTCAGGTTTCTTCCGCGTAAAGTCCAGAGTGCGGCAGAGGCAATAGCAGGTCAATAAAATTTCTCCTCTTCTCTGAGTGAGAGTGCTGCCTCCCGTCTCCTCCCGCTGAGCTGCCTTCTGGATCGAAGTGTTGAAATACTGTTCACGGAGCAGATGTCTGGGGTATAGATGTGCATCCCAGTTCAGTTTGGGCTGTTTAAAAAATGTCCTGACGCTGGAGGGCTTTGAGAGGAATGGTGCAGACCAGACGGAATTTATCCCGGGTAGCTCTACGCCCTTTTCTCCATCCTTGTCAGCTTTATAAGCCTGCTCTGCTTAAAGTCTCTTTCCAGTTATCCAGTTAATTCTCAGTGGAAACATTCCTGTTTTGCTAACTAAGTACTTAAATTGCAGCTGGCCCGGACTCACGGGTATCTGGGAAGCGGCAGATTCTGCAGCGGGCTCCTGCCAAAGCAGGGCATGGTTTCCAAAGCTCATCCTGAGAGCGCATCGGCCATCTGGGTGCCGCCTGATGCGGTGTTCAGCGCTGAACAACGGCTCTCGTTCAGCAGTTCTGCAGCCGCTCGTTCCCTCCCATGTAGAAGTCTGGAGGAGAGGTGCTCGTTGGTCCGTCTGAGGTGCTCGCTTCTGTCTGTGCGGGTGAGAAATGTGGCTAGCGTGTGTTTCCCACAGAGTATCTCCAGCAAATCTAAGTGCTCTGCTTCTTCTACTGAAGCACAGGAAGTTCCGTCTGAACGTAAGGAAGAACTTCTTCCCTCTGAGGGTGACGGAGCCCTGGCCCAGGCTGCCCAGGGAGGTTGTGGAGTCTCCTTCTCTGGAGATATTCAAGACCCCCTGGATGCGGTGCTGTGCAGCCTGCTCTGCGTGACCCTGCTTCGGCAGGGAGTTGGGCTGGGTGACCCACAGAGGTCCCTGCCAACCCTGACCATTCTGTGATTCCTCGCCGCTGGTTTACCTGTCATGCTTTGGGACGTAGCAGAGCTCCAGAGCGGTGGTGGTAAAGGCGGTTGGTTTTGGTCACGCATCCCGACTCGTGTTTCAGGCTGCTGCGAGGAACTGGGTCAGACCACAGACCAGTAAAGGTTATGGAGACTTTCGCTGGCGCATGATGTCATCTCAGTTCTCAGTCTCATTGCAGACTGGGACCAATCTTCTTTATTTTTTCATAATTCCCAAAAGCCTCTGTTTGTTCAGCATGGATACTGCTGTATAAATAGCAAGAAAATTCTGGAGACCCAAAACAAAAAGTATTTTTAGCTTATCCAAGGCAGCCCAACTCTGAGAACAAACTGTTCTGTCTACAGTCAATACAGACGAGAATCATTGCCCATAAAAGCTGAAACACACAGTCATCTGAATTGTCCCACTTAATTAAGGAATTTGCACCTAAGGGATATCTCCAGCGTCTGCTGCTGGGTGACTCCCAGCTCTGCTGCCGGCGTTGGAGCCCATGCTTGACGTGTCACCGGTGGAGTCCCGAAGGAGAAGTCGCTGTGGAGATGCCATCTTTTTCCAAGGACCTCATGCAGCATAGCTGAGACATCCAACTTATGAAATGAGGGTGCCTAGGTTCCTCCTGTTGTGGACAGTGCTTATACAAAGGACTGGGGAAATGTTTGGGAAATCGTTACTGAAAGACTTGAAGTTCATCAATAATGATGCTCGGTGACGAAAACAGATTAAATGTTCCAAATCTGTGTGTTGCAGAACGGAGTCAAAAGTCTGGTCACCGCTTGTGAACGAGGAGGGAAAGACTCATCCTTACAAGATGAATCTGGCCTCTCAGCCGCAGGTAAGTGATGGAGTATCCGCATGCTCTTCCTCCCACTTGCTCCCGTCTGACGTTGGAGCGGTTTCTGGCCTGATCCTCGCGTCGGGGGTAGAGGCACCTCCTAGAGATCACCCGGCCCTCGGAAACCTCCGGAGCCAGACTCCCTCCCTCTGCTCGGAAGCCTGCTGCGGTGGAGCGAGCCGGATGCCTCGCCACGGGTAAGCTGCTCGGGTCAGGGCCGTCCGCACGCTGGCACCTACCGTGGGGCACAGGAGGCACCGTGCGCTTGTGGCTCCATAGAGCATTGCTGCTGTTGCTGCGCTGGTTGACTTCTCATAGGTAAGAAAGGTCTTGAGAGGGGAGGAAAATGATTCATAGAATTATAGAATCATTAAGGTTGGAGAAGACCTCTAAGATCATCAAATCCAACTGTCACCTCATCACCACCACGCCTGCTAAACCATGTCCCGAAGTGCCACATCTGCACGGTTTTTGAACATCTCCAGGGATGGGGACTCCCCCACTGCCCTGGGCAGCCTGTCCCAATGTCTGACCACTCTTTCAGGAAATAAATTTTTCCTAATATCCAGTCTAAACCTCCCCTGATGCAATTTGAGGCTGTCTCCTCTCGTCTTATCGCTGGTTACCTGGGAGCAGAGACCAACCCCCCCTCGCTACAACCCTCCTGTCAGGGTGCTGTAGAGAGCGATGAGGTCCCCCCTCAGCCTCCTCTTCTCCAGACTGAGCAACCCCAGTTCCTCAGCCGCTCCTCATCAGACTTGTTCTCCAGACCCCTCCCCAGCCTCGCTGCCCTTCTCTGGACACGCTCCAGCCCCTCAATGTCCTTCTTGGAGTGAGGGGGCCAGAACTGAGCATAGCACTCGAGGTGAGACACAGTATTAGAGGTGCACTCTTAGTGTTTTCTGTTGTGGGTCTTGTTTTGTATTTTCCTCTCACTAGCAGGTTCTTCCCTGCAGTCTAGCTGTGATGGAGGTGGAAGAGAAACACACCAGCCTTTTGTGTTTTGATCTGTGGGGCAGATCTTGCAGGCTTCGTCTAGGAGGTCGGTGTTGTAACCTGTTGGCAGCTTTGCTTCGTCGGGCTGCTGCCTCTGTCAAGTAAGCGTAGTAATAAGTGACCTGTGCAAGGGCATCGCCTGGGCTAGGCTTAGAGGATTGCACTGCACAAATCTCCAGCAGCTGCGCTGAAATTGATGGCATTCTCCATCCATCCAATCTCTACATCTCCATCCAGTCCGTTCTCCAGATTTTCACCAGGGCAGTGACGTGGATTCTGGCCCTAGCACACATTCCGTGTGAGTCTTTCTAGGAAAAGAAGTAGAGATAAAACAAGTTTGGTTCTGCCATTAATCAAGTGCCAATATGTTTGGGTTGGAAAGGACCTGGACCTAAAGCGGCACATCTGCAGCCACGCCATGCCCAGACCGTGGCCTGGGTTGTGTCCATGCTCCCTCTCATGCCAAGCTGCTGTGTGTTGCTTGGCTCAAGAGCGTGGCGCAGCGTTCTCCTGGCGTTTCGTAGCTCAGCCAAGGCACAGCTTGAGGCTGAGCCCTTTGGGGCTTGGGCTGGGGCCGTGCAGTGACACCGTTGAGCTGAGATCTGGTCTGCGACTTCTGCTGCCCAAGCTCTCGAGATGTTCTGCTGCGACCCTGGAGACTTGGGGGCTATCTCTTGCCAAAGGAGCGGGACAGAGCCTGCCCTGAGCCTGTCCTGCAAGGCTGCGGAGGGCTGTTGTTCA